TGTTAGTATGAGTGTGCCTGTGTTAGTATGAGTGTGCCTGTGTTAGTTTGTGTGTGCCTGTGTTAGTACATCACCATCATCATCATCATCACCATCATCACCATCACCACCATCATCATCATCACCAACATCACCACCATCATCATCATCACCATCATCACCAACATCACCACCATCATCACCACCATCATCATCACCATCATCATCATCACCATCATCATTGCATGATCTCTCACTGAACCTAGAGTCCCAAGTTTGGGACTCTAGGTCCCAGATTGGCTGGCTGGCAAGCCCCAAGGATCTTCCAGTCTCTGCCTCCCCAACTCTGGCATCACAGGAGCCCGCTCCCCACCGGGCTTTTTCACTTGGTGATGGAATCCAGGTCCTTGTGCCTGTTCTCAGCAAGAGCAAGCACCTTGCCAAGAGAACCGTCTCCTAGCCCCACCCACTTAAAAAAAAACAGAAACTCATAAAAATTCTCCTGCCTCAGCAGTCTCCCAAACATTGGGACCACAGGTGTCACATACTAATCTATTTTTAAAGATATACATGAATACATACACACAAAGCTTGAACGTCTATATGATATCATGACATCCATGTCTAAGTGACCAGGACTAAATGACAGGGCGAGGTGGGGCCCAAGAGGGGTCATGCCAGGGAAGAAACTCAGTAGAACTGGTGAGATCCAGAAAGGTGGGAACAATCTTAGCAGTGTGGCATCAGAGGGACGGGATTTCACGTTTCTAAAGCACTGTAGACCTGACTGGGTTCTGTCTGGGCTTTTGTTCTAGAGACAAGTCTTGCTCTGTAGCCCTGGCTGGCTTCACCCTTAAGGTGATCTTCCTGCTTCTGTCTTCCGAGGGGTTGGCTTTGCTCTAAACAGATTTTACTTTTCTATTGACGGAGTGGGGAAGAGAACACAGCTGGTGCGATAGATTGCCAGCACCGCCATCTCCAGGCATCGGGAGGAGGCTGGATGCCCTCTGTGGAACAAGAGGAATGCTCCCTCTGTGCTGAGTAGCCGTTGGGTCCCCATTCCATTCTTTGTTACAGGGGATCCTGGGGAGCCTCTGAGAGGGCGTGCTGACTGTGATGCCCTGTCCCAGGGCTCTGTGGTGGGGCCTCTGGCTAAGCCCCAAGGGTGCCAGCTTTGTTCCGCTGTATAAACAAACAAGGAGGGGCTTTGTACAATGGTGCAAGGATGGGGGGCGGAGGGGGATGTGGCTGCACTGAGCCTCCTAATTAGCGCTGGTTTTGTTACTCAGCTTCAGCCTGATCTTCTGGCTTTAATCTGGATTTGCTGAAATGTGACATGCCCTGCAATTTTCTCCACACCCTATGCCTCCCTGCCCCTCCTCTGGGTTCTGGGGCCCAAAGTTCCAGGCTTGGCTGGGTAAGGCTGGAGAGGTCAGGCTGTGTGAACTCTTCTGGAACCCTCTGAACTAATCTACTAGGACAAGTGCTCCAGGGATGGAAGTGTGGGCACACAGGGGTACCGCCAGCTTTTGGAATCAGCAGACAATAATACAGACAAGCTCGGATGTGTTCCTGGATCCTGGTTCCAGAAGGCACCAAGGATCCGAAGGGAAGTTGGGTCAGGCACCTTTGGACTCAGGTGTGGTATTTAGTGTCCTGTGACACTGGAGAAGTATTTGTAAACTCTCTGAGCATCTTATCCCATAGATGAGAAAAACAGGCCTATGAGCACAGGCAGGCAAAAAGCTCCCCGTGGAATAAATGCAACCAGCACCTGACCATTTAGGAGGAGATGGTGAAGTGACCTCTGAGGCAGTGTCACCGTCTCTTTCCCTCCCTGTTAGTGGCCTGCTGAGGCCACTTTTCCACCAGGCTGCCTGAGAGCTGCTGTGCCTGGTCCCAAAAGGCCAAGATGACTAAGGCCAAGATGGCCGCTTAGCAGACATGTGCAGAGCCACTGGGTCTCTTACCTTCTCTGCTCAACACTTTCTCTGCCTCCAAGACCCACAATCCCACGACCCACAATCCCACGACCAAGCTCCTACTGAACAGGCTCCCTGTAGGGAGATGGGCACCCAGAAAACCGAAGCCATAACAGGAACCCAAAGTCAAGGGCAAAGCAAAACTGCTTACCTGGTGCTGGCACTCCCGATCCAGTCTTGGGGATGAATCCTCTTGGCGTTTTCGATAGAAACCCAGCTCGAGCGCAGACATTGTTTCTCTGTTTGCAGAAGGCGACGGAGGCCTATGTGGGAGAAAATCCACCCCACAAGCTCAGTGCCCGCCTGCTCTGTCATCCTGCCTGGGACAGGTGGCAAATACGAATCACATTTAAACCCGTCTTCCTTGGATGGAGAATTGACATGAGCTGAAAAAGACAGCTCTGGCCTTATCACCTACCTAGTCTAAGTGGTCTGTGACAAACATGCGCACGCGCGTGCACGCACACACATCAAGGTAAAACCGGGGAGAATGACTAGGAGTCTAAGAGAGAAACCTGAAGACCTTGCCAAGGTTCAGATGATCTCGTCTCTCTGAGCCTGAGTTTTTCTCTCTGTAAAATGCATCCGATGATCCCCCCTCTGTTTTGGAACATTGTTGGGGGCAGGGGAGGATATCGCAAACCATCCAGAGAAAGTTAGAGTTTGTTTCTTCTCAGTGCTGGGGTCTTGTGTGCTACGGGCCAACTGCCCCCACTGCCCATGGGGGAAGTTTTTTTTTCCTGAGTGTGTGATGCTGTTACACATATTTTCATTTCGTTTGCCGTCATTTTTTATCTTTTCCAGGACAAGTCTTCATGTCCCCCACCTGGTCCCAGGCTGCATTCTTCTCTCTACAAACAATGCTTCTAAACCACAGCATCCAGGGTTGCTGGAGTCCTATCGGTCAAGATTCTAATCAAATCTCCAGTCACTCTCTTCTCTCTGCTTTTCTGGACCAACCAGAACTTAAGAATTTTGACTGATCCACGCAATATACACATGAGATAGTCCCATGGGTTCAGGACTCTAGAAATGATAAGTGGGGAGGGGTTGGGTCGGGGGGGGGCGGTGGGAAGGCTGAGATCATTCTTCTATTATGCACGCATCACAAATATTTGAAGTACCAATTTGTAGTCAGTCTCCTGTATTCGTTAGATAACAGAAGCAATAAAGATCGTGTTCGGGAGTGCTGGGAAATATTTGCTGAATGAGTGAAACTATTTGCTGGGGGCTGGGATGGCTTGATTCTGATACTTCTTTGTTTAAAAAAAAAAAAAAGAGTTTCTTGAGAAATGCAGGTGGCATTTTGGTTTTGAGCTCACAGCGGTGGAGGAATGTAGGTTTTCCCAGGGTTCTGATAGCAGGTTGCATGCAGGGAGCTCCTACACAAAGCCCAGATGGGCAGGCTAATTACGGGACAGGAGAGGACCAGGCCTACAGAGAAGATAATAACAGCTCCCACGGCAAAGGACTCCAAAAGAGAACCCAAGACCGAGGCCGGGCAAGATGCTCAGAGCACAGCATGGCTAACGGGATTATGGCCTTCGGGCTTCTTGCCTGATGCCAGCTATTATTCTCTGGGCTGGGGAAAAGCCTCCTGCAGACAAAACAGTTCCCCACCTTTGTTCTTTACCCAGACAGAAACCTGTGGAAAACGGAACATTTTTGTATACCTGTGAGTCCACAGGACGATTTCTCCATTAGACTAAGAAAATACTCAGCAGGTAAACACAGAGCAAAGCTCAACTGTGAACTCCCAGAGAGGAACTCCAGATGGAGCTGAGCAGAAAATATATCTGGACCCTGGACAGAGTGACCTCAAAACTGAAGGGAGGAGTGTGTGTGTGTGTGAAGCCCCTGAAGAAATTGTACCTGGCTCTTAGAGACACCCACATTATAAGGACACTGGCATGGGGTGGGAGAGATGCTTCAGCAGTTAAGAGCACATACTGCTGCTCGTGCTGAGGACCAGAGTTCGGTTCCCAGCACCCACACCAAGTGGCTCATTACTTTGCCTGTAACTCCAGCTTCAAGGAATGGATGCCTCTGGCCTCCAAGAGCATTTGCACTAAGGTATACATACACCACACACACACACACACACACACACACAGACACATACACATTTTATTAAGAAAGAGAAGTGGAGTTATAATATACTATATTCTAGAAATATACGGTATCTCTGTATGCTGGATTTCCATACAGCTTAATTGTATATTATTCAAAGTATAAATGTGTTATTTTCAGTCACCTTAAAACAATCATGAACAAAATCCATGCACTGTGTGGAGCTGGAGAAATGGCTTAGTCATTCAAAGGATCACTTCATAAGCATACGAGCCCAAATTCACATCCACAGCACTCGGCATAAAAAGTCACACAGGCTGGAGAGATGGCTCAGCAGTTAAGAGCACTGACTGCACTTCCAGAGGTCCTAAGTTCAATTCCCAGCAACCACATGGTGGCTCACAACCATCTGTAATGAGATCTGATGCCCTCTTCTGATGTGTCTGAAGACAGGGGAAGTGTATTCACATATATTTAAAAAAAAAAAAGTGGCACACAGTAGAGTCAGGAGGATCCCTGAGACTAGGTGGCCGGCCAGTCACCAAGGACCCTGTCTCAAAAACCATCATCATCTAAGGTAGACAGCCATCCAGGAAAACACCCTCATGTGTACACACACATAGGAGTACACACACATACACACAATATGCATGTCTGGACCTTGGTCATTTGCAGATTCACAGCTGCATGGACCCAGAGACCACTCATTTGACGAGAGACTTCATCACATGCTGCTGTGTCCAGGGTCCATGGGGAAGTACAAGGATTCACACAGAGGACTGGAAGCATCCAGGCCAGGCTTGAGCTCTCTCACCCTTCTGCTGCAACCTAGAGGGACACAGAGGGGTGCCCACAGTGACAGCGCTATGCCTGGCCCCCCAGTAGCCTGGGCTCTCTCTGGATGCCTTGCGTCTGTATAGATCATTCCTGAACACACGCCTCCTTTCTCCTGAAAACCCTAATCGTCTTCTCTCAGATCCCACAGTGCAGGCTGGAGGACGAGTTCTAGAAACTTCCTCAGGTTATGTCCCATCCTCCCCACTGTCCATCGGGGGCTTCCCAGGGCACAGAGAACAAAGTCCAAACTCTCCTCTGGGGTCTTCAGGGATATACTGAGACAGTTACTGCCTGCCTGTGTGCTTTCCTCTTGTCTTTTGCCTCCTGGTTCAAATCACCCTCTGACCCTACAGTCCCTGAGGAACTAACTCTTCCCTCCAGACTTCCTTCCAACCTGTGGTTCTCAGCCTCTGAGGTTTCTCTGACTACTCAGTCTAAAGGGTAAAGGTGCTCTCAACCCCTGACCTGTACATACCTCTCAGGACCCAAATGTTTATCGCCCTTAAAGCTAACACACACTCACTCTCTCTCTCTCTCTCTCTCTCTCTCTCTCTCTCTCTCTCTCTCTCTCTCT